TGTGTGGGCTGCTTTTAATGGTTAGCAAGTTTTTTCATTCTTCTTGTTGTACGAGCATCCGTCGTGTTCGGTTGTGTTTCGTGTTGTGCAGTAAATTTGTTTGAGTTTTGTTCTAATTACATTTAAAAATATGTTTTATATGATAAGTAATATTAGAGATAAATAAATGAAATATTCTTTGAAACTTTAAAGAAAGAAAAAACCGCATTTAACGAACAACGTCTGTTCATTTATATAATGAACAGACGTACTATATATATACTATCTATATATATATGAACGAGAAGTAATAATAATTAAAAATCATAAATTAGTATAATACATGAATAATAAAAGAAATATATACTAAGACGACACTTTTTATAATTGAAATGGTTAGATCTAACTAGTATAGTAGTTATACTAATACTGATTAGCTTAATGAAGTTTCATCATTTTTTCACACATTGTACATTTCTAAATAACAATGATAGACATGGTTGAATATGTAGATAATAAATCAATTAATAAAAAATATATAAACTCCTAAAGAAGAAATTTCTACAATTTCAACAGTATAAAAAAAGATTGAAATAAAAATTTTTATAATTTTAAAGTTATTTCAATTTTGTTTGTGATTGCAAAGTTATACTATCTAATTTAAAATATTAAAAGCATTTTTATATATAACGATACTGCTAATTCGGAATGTAGATTATGCCTTGAAGATGAGGAAGTCACATCGCATATTCTATTTGACTGTCCAGCTTTAATAAAGCACAGAAAAAACTTGTTTCATATGAAATTTCTGTCACCAGAACAGATTAAGAGCTCTTCTCTAGATTTACTTCTGGACTTTGTTCACAAAACTTTAAAGGGCTTTGTGTAATCAATAGTGAAATTGGTACAATAGGACTCGTCTGACGTAGTCGCCGGCTGCTGGGCGATTTCAAGTCAAAACTTTAATAAATAAATAATATATAAAGAAGAAAGCGGACCGTACTAAAGATTTATTTAGCGTAGTCCTAACATTTTCCAGATCGCATTAGGATACACTATTTCCTTATACAATAGACTTTGCTGTCCACAATGTAATCCTTAACCGAAATTACTGCGTATGAAAATTCGTACTAGGAGTGTGATTGTGATGTGTCGTTAACTTTAAGGTGTGGCCAGTGCTAACTTTTCATATATCAGATACAGGGTATATTTTTACTACATCATCTATTACTACATCAATTTAAAATGAAAATCGGACTAAAAGAACAGGTTGACACTAGGAATTAGAAAACTGATTTAATACAGATATGGTTTGATTATTAGGTTTTAATCGGCAAAGGTGTGATTTTCACGAAACGCGTTTGATCTCGTTGATTAGAGTTAAATTTATTACAATTATTCTGATACGTTACGGATAGCGTCTTGAACACAATTTTAACTGATTTAATTGCATATAAAATATGACGTATTAAAACAATTTTTATTAGTATGTGGATATGATGTGATTTATGTATACATATAACTAATTTCGTTGGTTTATGGTACAAAATTTAATTGTTACCCAGGTAATTTATTTATCTGGTAGAACCTTACTAGTTCTAGTTCAATAACGTTGATTACGTTATTGATTGTTGATACATCAATCCTTGTACCCAGTTATACTCTTATTCTACTAATGTATCTTGTTAAATACCACAAGAATTATAAAGGTTTGCATATACATATGTATATAAACTATGTCTATAATAAAAATGCATTAATATAGAAGATTCATATTTAGTATAAATTATTTAATTTATTTTTATTATTTTCAATTTTTTATTTAAACTCGTAATAAATTCATTAAATTATTAATTTTTTTGCCGTTGCGAATTTCTCTATTTAAAGTCCAATTCATCTTCATATTCCACAAATCCACAAATCCGCACAAAAAAATACACAGTTGCAGTGGCAATTTCAATTGCATTGAAATGAGTTTTTACGCTGCATATGCAAACAGTTCAGCATCTATTAAACGCTTTATCATGATAAGACTGTCGACATAAATGCAATTGCGACGCAGAATACCGCAGATTGCGGCTACATTAAGCATGAATCTGAGCACATTTGCAACTATTAATTTTACACTTTCATCCGCAATTTTGTGGATATCGTGGGATTGTGCGTTTGTCTGGCTTTATCTACTGTTTGTGCTCCAACAGTGTCATGATCTTTGTAAAATGTGTTTTTATTAATATAATTTATAATAAATTTGTTGTTTTAGTTGAATTACATATTAAACTATTGCAGTTAATATTTTTTATAATCCATCTTAACATAGACAAACATAGCATGAGTGGGTATGAGCCGGATTCCTTTGTGAGTAATGTCTGTGGGTATTACTTCGTGCAGCTTAATATATTACTATTTTTAATAATTAATTAGGAATTTGTAAAATTTTTCTGTTAAATACTGAATAATTACATTAAAATTATATATTCGAAATAAATTTCAAATAGTTCTTATTGGTTTTTGTTAAAAATGTATTTCAATGGAGAATAAGGGGTCTGAACCACCGTATGATGCTATGGATAGTAAAGTCAATTTAACTTTGTTTACCAATTTCTTTAAATAAATTATATAAAATTTTTGTACTTGAACAAATATTTAAAAGAATATGTATGTTTTATAAATATAATACATTATTAATAATAATAATAACAGCAGTTTTTCTAAGAGCATTACTAGTTGACAAACACAAATATCCACAACTTTTTTGATTTGAAGCAGCTGTTTTAGGACTACAGCTAACTTCAATACTTTAAATGAAATAGAATATACACATTTCAAACAAATGTCACTTACTATAAACCATCTGAGTTTATAGTAAGTGACACACTCACTCAGCTACCTGTCCTTCACCACTCTAATTATATTTTACTCTTAGTATGGAAAGTTAACCCAACAGACTTCTTCAAATATGTATATGAAAAGAGCACTGGGCAAATCAATATCATGTATAAGGGTAAATATAAAAATATTAGTCCTTACAAAACTGAAAACATAACTTCAATATGCTCATAACATTTTGATTTACAACTAGATATCATTAGGTATCACTTCAGTTTGCTGTAAAATTCTGGTGAAAATGAAATATCTATTACTGCTACCACAGATATTGAAAGAATATAAAAAACTCCTGTAATAAATCTAGTATACTGGCTTTGCTATTGAATAGAAAGTATTTGAGGAATTACCCTGTATTCTTCTAAAACATTCCACATTTATCTACAATAATATGACCGACCAACTTTGTAGCGTATTTTACAAGTAAAATCACAGCAGCATTTGCGAGACTTCCACAATCATATCGAATTAAAGTATAGTATTTCATACGAACTGAGAGTATGACTAATTTATCATAACTATATTATAACTAATATAACTACTAAAATATAACTTAGTTTCAATTTAAATTATATTAGCATTTTATGAATTAAATGAATATAATAGACGTATAAATGAATAAAAAATAAATTATTATCGATTTATATTGATAATTGCGGCCAATCATTTGTGGTAAAATATTATCTTTATTTGAAAACTGCGGCTTGACTACTTTTAATTTATTAAGTAATATGAT